ACACACACACACACACACACACACACACACACACACACACACACGTGCGCACGCGCGCAAATAAGTAAAATTTTAAAACAATTATTTAGCTGGGCATGGGCAGCATATAACTGACTCCAGCACCCAGGAGGCAGAGACAGTTCAAGGCCAGCCTGGTTCACAAAGCGAGTTCCAGAACAGCTAGAACTACACTAAGGAACCCTGTCTTAAATAATAAAACAAAACAAAACAAAAAAAAAACAAAACAATGAATTAGAAGAAAAGAAAAAGAGGACCCCGGGGAAGCAGTTAAGTGCATAAAAACACTAGCCGCACAAGCATGAAGGGCTGAGTTTGAATCCCCAGTGTTCCTGTAGAGGCTGAGCTTGGCTGTGTGTGCCCAGGACCCCAGAATTGGGGGGGCAGAGATGGGTAGATCCTGGGAGTTTGCTGGCCCACCGGCCTAGCCAAAAGAGCGAGCTTGGGGTTGGATGAGAGACCCTGCCTCAAAGAAATGAGGAGGAAGCAGCCAAGCAAGGCCCCAACGTCCTCCTCTGTCTCCTGCAAGAGTGTGCGTGCACACTCTACAACCAAAGGGAGGGCGGGGAGGAGGAAGGTTGGTTCTGAAAATTTCTACAACTGGTCCAGAGAATGCCTGGTAGGAGCCTCTGAGAAACGATAGAGAGGAAAGGTCACTAAGCTGTCACTTCCTTTCCTGGGGTGTATTTTATGAGACCTTCTCCTTCAAGGACACCAGGACCAGATGACCAGAAGTAGAAACTTTTTTTTAAATGATCATTTTCTGACTTTTCTTTCTTTGGGACAGACAGCCCTAGAGCTGATGTGCCAAGGGCTCTGGCCTGTCCGTGCTTGGGCTGTCTAGAAGGTAGGCAGTCCTTGTGGCCAACGCTCAGAGTTCCTGGGAGGTGTGATGTCTGGTCCTGGATCTATGACTTCATGCAGCATGCAGAGTGTGGGAGGGGTTGTACAAGATACGTGAAGACAGATATGCTTAGAAGATCCAACCCTACCCGAGACCTCAGCGAGTCAACCTCGCAACCACCGAGGAAGACACACAGTGTCTGTGTGGGCGTTCGCAGACAACGTGTTCCTGCTCCAAGAGCAAGACACAGCCCGGCTCTGAGAACCTCCTGTCCACCCCATTGCTCGTGACTAGTCCTGGTCGGTCTCCAAGGTGCTTCCCTTGGACATTGGCTCACTGGCTCTTCTCAACATCTTCGCCTGGGCGGCTTCACAGAATCCTACAAATCACCTACATCTGTCTTTCTCACTGCTCCAACGAGACCAACCTCTGTGTAAGAAGAAAGGCATGCACGTGACCTGGGATGGCGTCTCCAGCAGTCTGCCTTTTATTTGGCAATGCAAGCTTTATGGGGCCTTAACCCGTGCTTCTCTCTGCCATGTGCACCGGCAACTGAGTGCTTACTCCTGTCCCACGGCCCGGGCGGCATCCCTGCCCTCGCTTTCCCCCAGGATCTGCTGTCTCTGCGACAATGCAGTCGCCCGACCTCGAGGCACAGATTTAGCCTCCACCCTCTGGGCCCCGGGCAGTCAGCCTCTCCTCCAAAGGTCTTTCCCGTGTATCCTTCCTGTGCACAGGGCCCAGAATAGCAGTGGCCGGTCTGGCTTCCCTACCTCGCTCTGGATTCCCTCTGTGAGGGGGACTCTTTCCTAAAATAGTTCTGTCCTTACAGGATGGCAGAAGGAGCCCGTGTCCGGAGCGCCACACTCACTTTGGGAAAACAGAAAAGGAACCGCAGGATCTCTTTGCCTCCCTGACGGCCTCACCCGCTCGTGCCCTGAGATGCTGCCCAACCGTAGTGCCAGTCCGGCTGCTACACGCTGCCCACTCTCCTTACAGAATGGATAAACTCAACGAGATTGCACAGAGGATCTGAAAGTGGAAATCCCAGGCTGCCTCTTCCTGGTGGGGGCCTAACAGGAAGCAGGTTTTGAAGAATGTCACTCTGAGCAAGGAAAAAGAATTTTTTTTGCAGGGATTCTAGGGAAAGGAGACTCCATGGGCTGGCTGAGGGCAGGTGATGCCTGAGGCTGTCATCCACCAAGGGGCTATCTCAGCAGGAACGGACACAGCTAAGCCACTGCCTCCATTCATCCCTACAGCCCTCCCTGGGCAGTAAGCATGGACAATTCCAGTGTATAGGCAAGGAAACCAAGGTCCCTCCCGAGAGACCAAATGCCCTGCCTAACTGCTTAGTAGGAGGGGATAGATGGATGAGGCCCACCCCTGCCACCGATGTCCTAGAGATGTGTCAGGACGATGAGGGTGACAGGCTTCCTGCAGAATCACATGCAGAACAGGGCCCACAGCCAGATGTAGCAGGGCTGGGTCTCTAGCAGCTGTGGCCTGCCCTCCCAGGTCCTTTCCTCTCTTGCTTTGGGTGCTCATACTCTTCCCTCGGTCCTGCCCTTGACCTCTTCCCCTGGGTGTACTCATGATGAGACCATTGACAGAGAGGAGATGGCTAAAATGAAGGAACAGGGCCAGTGAGAGGGCTCAATGGGCAGAGGTGCTTGCTGCCAAGCCCGACGTCCTGAGTTCAAGCCCCAGACCCAGATGATGGGAGAAGAGAACAGAGCGGACTCTCCAAAGGTGTCCTCTGACCTCCATATGCACCCACACACATACGCTCACACACAAACATGTAAAACTACAGGCCCATTGTCGGTCTTTTTGTGAGTGGATGTTTGAAGAGCAATAGGTGTGGGAGTGAGGCCTAGGGACAGGCCAGCCTCAGACAGGACCCGCCAGTCTTACCTGAGGACAGGAGCTTGTGTGTTCGCAGGAAGCTGATAGCTAGCCGCATGATGGAGGCTTTATCCAGGTGGGAGCTCACACTGTGAGGCAGGGGTAGCTCGTGAGCCAGTTCATAGAAGACCTCCGTCTCCTTGCTGCGCCGGCACCTTGCGGCATCTCGGGATTTCTCCTTCCTCAGCTCCGAGCTGCTCCTAAATGAAGAAGCAAGGGGTCAGTGCCCAGAACATCCCTGTCATCCTTCCTCACTGCTGGTAGAGTCACGCTCACGCCCCTATCCACGGTAAGGTCAGTTCTCCCACTGAGCCAATCGGGGCCCAGCCCAGAGGAACCACGAGCAAGCTGCTTTTTGTTACTGGCTCTGCTTTTGTGTGTGTTGGTGTCCCCTCAAATGGCTTCCTTCCCCTACATCCCTGTGGGGGCCAGAACTGGGCTTCATGCGGGTAGAGTTTCAACAAAGACTTGATGATTAAATTCATTAACAGACCTTGGGCACAGGGGTCAAAATTCCAGTGATGGAAAGGGAAGGATGCAGAAACTATGGTCAGTGCACACATGGTGTTGTGCAAAGCCCTGGAGAACAAGGCTCTCTTTTTTCTAGGTAAGATGCACTCGGTAAAAACGAAGCCCAGTTCTGGACCCTGATCCTGATTCAGATGTGAGAGAGACGCCAGAGCAGAGACTGAAAACGCCAGCAAGACCCAAGGAGAGCACGAGGCAGACACGCCTCAGTTTGACTCCCAACGTGTGTGCCTACAAGGTGTGAAAAATGGCAGCGCGTACAAACCCGGCTGGCCTGGGCCACCAGACCGACTTGTGCGCATTTTCCTCTTTGTCGCAGGACAGAAGAAGGAAGACCCACACCCGCACTCAAACCCACCTCTCTCAGGAGGCCTAAAGATACCGGGATCGTCTTACGAAACTCACATCAAGCACTAACATGGGAGAATCAGAACCCATGGGCCAGAAGTCTTAACTTGTCTTGCTGACTCTGAAAGCGTCAAGGCACTTAGCATCCCCTCAGTGGTACCCACTTGACTGTTACTGTGAGGACTTAATATGATCATTTATGTGAAACCTTAGCTCCAGGCACATCCCACTCTAAGCAATCAGCATTAGCTTAAGAGTATTTTAAAAAAAAAAAAAAGACAATCTGTCCATGAAAAGATGACCTATCCTATCAACAGCATAGAGCGTGTCCTCAGAAAAATGCACACATTACATGTAACATTTTTCTGTTATGTCATACAGCAAGAAATACAGTAAATGATAAACATTCTTACAACGGTCACGGTATAGTTCAGCTATAATTTTAGACAGTACGGTGTTAGCCTCTTTAAATTTCACAGCTTGCTGCGAGAATAGAAATTATTAGCATCCCCGATCTCCAGATGAGAAAACAGGCCCGCAGAGGCTAAATAATTCACCTGTGGCTGCCAGCTGATAAGTGGAGAATTGAACTCTGCCCTGGGCAGGGCAATCCCAGAATCCAGGCACTTAGTCATTAGTGACTGTTAAGAGCTGCAGAGTAATGGAGTTAGGGAGCGGGACCCCCCCCCCCCCCCCGTCCCTGGCCTACTGATTATCTATGTTTTCTTGTGTTTCTATAAATAACAGGTATTGTATAATAAAGAAATTGGTTTGTTTTTTGTTTCTGTAGAAGATGTTCAATGTGTTTTGTGGCTTTCAAGGCTTGATCTAATCAGCTCCAGCCTGGCTCATTCTACCTTGCCTTCTGACATTGCCAACCCCAGGGGCTGCTTTCCTTTTGTTAGGCTTTGAGCCTCTTGTTATCTGGACAGAAAATCACTATTTGGGGATTCCTGGAATGCTGGCATGCCTCTTACCCCCTTGCGGATTTGAGGCAGAAGCCCTGTTTTGACTTTACAGCATACTTCATTGGCAGACACAGCTCCCTGGATGGATGGATTACCCACTGGATACCAGACTACAAAGAACCACACAGCACTCTGATGGTCAACCTTGTGAGAAACTGTGAAATGAGGGACTTGGGTTTTCTTGTCCTCTCTCCCCTGTCTGTTTCCCTCATCTATTCCTCTCTCCCTCCACTCTTCCTGACTTTCAGCTCTCATGAATCCCACACCTCTGTATCCCTATCCATCTCACCAACTAGGAACCTGCCCTTTGGGAGATTTTGCATCTTCTACCAGACTTGACTGGTCCCCAGATTTTGCATCTTCATCCTGAGTTCACCGGGGTGGGGTGTGTTGAGGGCTCACAGGCTTTTTGGTGTAGGAAAGGCAGGCAGGATGGGTACCTACACTGGAACACTACAGCTCTGGGTCATGAGATCCAGACAGGAGACGCTGAATTTCACTCTTCAGTACCAACCCTCACACTTCCTGACAACAGCCGGGTCAACACATGACCTAGTCATTAGAAACAGCTAAAGCAGCCATGCTGGGGTGGAGCAATCATCACAGGCTATGGATTAGCAGCAACACCTTCATGGGCAAAGCCCCTCACCTTGTCAAGGCTCCTGCCTTAGAGAAGAGCTCCAGGGCTGAGGAAGAGCTGAGGGGAAGAGGTTACCTAGAGGCAGGGCTCTGCTTGGCATTAGGGATTTGAGCTGTACCACATTCCTTCAAGCACACACACACACTACTACAGCAAGTGTTCAGCCACTGCACCAAGGACTGTACACACCACCTCATTATAGTCTTCTTCATGACAGCTCAGTAGACACTGTGCAATTTACAGACAGGGAAACTGAGGCTCAGAACAGGCTGTATCATTTTCTCAAGGTCTTAAAGACAGAACCTACATAAGTCCTTGGAGGGTCCAATTAGGGAGCAGGCAGGCTGCCTAATTTTATCATTGCAACCACCATGTGAGGAGAGCAGGCAGGTGGAACCCATGTCCCCATTTCAGAGACCTGGAAACTGAGACCCAACTGGGTTAAGTTGCTTGCCTAGAGCAATTATCTAATTTAGTGGCAGAGCCAGGGTTAAAATCTTACCCCCACCCCACCCCTAGTACTCAGTGTTCATCTGTAGGAGAACAGTACCCCTCCTTAGCAAGAAAGAGGAAACTTCCACATCTTAACCGTTTAGAAGAAGAAAGGCTGAGAACCTGTGGCAGGCCCTTGGTTTAAAAGTTGTGTGCTCCGTTTTAGCTACCTTATTTTTACAGTTTCACTCTAGAACTAGCTTGATTTTAATTAGATCCCCTAGTTGACCTTGACATAGTCCAGAGATGTCCAATGTTGACTCTTAGAAAAATAGACAAAAATCTGTAACACTGAAATCATTTAACTAACAACCCTGAAGAACTCAAATAATTAACATGAAGGTACAGGTACCAGAAGCCCAAGTTTGTCCATTGGCAACAGTACACCCATCTAACTTTGGAGAAGAAAATACATTCTCTGGGCTCTGCTCCCCTCACCTGTAAAACAGGAAGAAGACTCCATGTCTTGTCAGGATAAAATGAGGTCAGTGTGGATGCTCTAGAAGGTTCTCTGGCGGTAAAACCTATCATGGCAGATTAAAGATTCATCTGACTACCATGAGCATTGGTTACATTTGGACTCTGCCATAACACCTGTCCTTTCTCACCTAGCAGGCTGTCTGGGGGGTGCAGGGCTGCGTCATGCAAGCTGATCCCGGCCCGTACTGCATGTCACATTTGGGCATCTTCCTAGGCTGACAAAGTTGGACCCAAGATAGGCCCAACAATGATCAATCACAGTTTGTTTTTCTTTCTAGAGTGACAATCCTAAATTTACATGTTAGAATCCACTGTCTTCTCTGAAAAAGTTATCATACCCTGAATATTTAGATAATTAGAAATGACTTAAGAGTTTCTTACACCACACTGCTTTTTTTTTTTTCCTTCGAGAAGTTTCTCCTCCCATCCTTGGGGACTCTCCTGTTCTGATAAGGAGGCCCTGTATAGCATGTGGTGTATGAAACACACTACCTAAATGCCCCTCTGTCTCCTGTCCTCACACACACCGAGATGTGCCTGCTGGGCCCCAGGCTGGCTCCTGTGGTCACTAGAGAGTGAAGGAGCCCACAAGCCTCGCTCTCCAGGAGTAAGCAGTCTAGTTAGGGGGCAACAGCTACACTTGTCATCATTGACTAGAATCATAAATAGGGACAAACATGGTAACAGCAAGGACAGGGACTCAGAGAGGCAGGATTCCAGCTAACCTGGAAAGATAATGGCTACACCCTTATAACAACTTAGGAGTTTGGAAACTATTTTCTAAAAGAAACATATGTAATCTCCTTTGAGTTTCACAATAACCCTTAAAGACAGGAGCTAGAGAGACTAAATCATTTGTCTCCATCCTAGCCAACACCCCGCCCCCCAATGTTTTCCCCTGGCAACAAGGGAACGATTGAACCATTCTGACATGCCCAGTGTTATTCCAGACTTTCCTACAAAGCAGATCCTCATCCACACTATGGGAAGAAGAGGATGGAGACCTATAAAAGACCCAGTGGCAAAGACTCCGTGGAGCTCGGATAGCTCTGTCTTTGAATCAGCACCCAAGAACCTTAGGGAAATCATGGAATCCTCGGAGGAGAACCAGTATTGCAGTTGAAACTGGGGGGGAGTAGGAAGGTGGAACACAAGGAGTCCCCATTGCTGGAGAGCTGGCTCACAGTGAGGTGCTGTATGACGGGAGTCCAGGGCTGCAGCAAGCAGTCCGGTACACTCCCTGTCACACCGCAGCCAGGAGTGGGAGCCGCTTCTGATTTTCAGGAGCTTCTCTGCCCCTCCCACATTCATTTATAGTCAGCTGCTCTCCCTGGGGTGGGGAGCACACATGATTCTGAAAGATTTAATCCCAAGTAAATGAAGTAAGCACTTTGGGACTAAGCAGCAGGCAAGAAGTAAAACCAAATTGACTGTCCAGAAGCATTGATTGGTCAATAGATAGGGATAGGTGTAACTGTCCCTTTGCTAGTGGATGACTGGCTTTGGGACCCCTTACAGACATCAAAGTCCTCAGACTTGAACATTAATGTTAAGTAGTTATACTGTATTATTTAGGGAATGATAATAAGAAAACAAAAAGACTGTACATATTCAGCACATACATGATTTCTTCCCAAATATTCTAGATCTGGTTAGTTGAATCAGCAGGATATGGAACCTTGGAATACCAAGTGATAAATGTAGACACTATCACTCAATCAGGCAAAAGAACCTTTAGTCAGAACACATGATGCTGTAAGTATGGCAGGGGATGCCTGCCTGATGCATTCAGCCACAGTGACCTACTCTTGGCCCAGATGAACCTTGTTCCTGACCTCCAAGTGACCAGAGCCTGAAGGGGAGCCTAGCTGTCTCCAACACCACCAGGAAGTTGGTTGCTCAGTTAGCTTTAGACTCCTAACTTTTACTGGGACTGGAGTCATCAGGTATCTAAGCCATATGTCCATTACCCTATAAGGTCAGGTAGCTGAGAAGTCAAGTGAATTTCAGTAGGTCAGGGAGATGGACGAGGCTCATTAAACCAGCCTGGGTCAAAGTAAAAATCACAGTGGGATGTCAATGCAGGCAAAAGGGGTCAAATGAAACTGGGAAGGAGGTGGACTCTTCAATGGGTTTGTGAAGCTGTTGTACAAGAACTGCCTGGTGGGAGAAACACCAGGTTCGGGCTGGAGAGATGGCTCAGAGGTTAAGAGCACTGACTGCCCTTCTAAAGGGCCCGGGTTCAATTCCCAGCACCCACATGGTGACTCACAACCATCTATAACTCCAGTCATAGAGGATCTGACACCTTCCTACATTGTGCACAGTCACACAGGCAGGTGAAACGTTCATATACATAAAAATAAATAATTTTTTTTTAAAAAAGAAAATACCAAGTTCAGGTCCCAGGGGGGATCGAGAACCACTTGGGCCTTGAGCTTAGCAGTTAATTACTTCACAGATGAAATCAGGGCAGAAACAAAGCCTCTGGGGTTCTTTATCTTGGCTGTTCACTGGAAGAGCCTTAAAAATGAATCGTGGGGTCCTGGCTCCAGAGACTCGGATTTGATGTATGTGAGGTACAAACGGAGCATCGTGACCCCAGCTCCTTTCTGTTCTCATGTAGCAGAGCCAAGAACCACCGTTACAAAGCAGTGTTTAAAGGTCCCTTATGTTGATTTTTGTGTGTATTACATATGTTGTTCTGGAGTCATGGATGTCTTGGAAATGCAAACAATTTACCCTTTTTTTTTATCAAATATTAAGGGGGAAAAGAAAACGGTATTTATGGAGCTCTGGAGTACAGTGCTTTTTCTAAATGATTTCATT